CTGCGGCTGCAGCCTTCGCTGCTGACAGGCCCCTTGGGGTGTCCGTGTCCAAGCCTCAGCCCTGCACTGGACCCTGACCCTCAGCGGAGGGCAGCGGGGTCTGTCCGAGCACACCTCGGGGCGCAGAGGGGCGAGCGGCCATGCTCCCTTCAGCCCTGGGAGGGCTCTACTGCTGTTTAATTCCTGCCTTCCCATTTGCAGCCTAGCTGCTATTCCCACTGAATCGGAGAAAACTCGGTAACAACTCAGTGTTATTAAGCAGGTATTCTTTATTGCAGCGCCGGGCAGCACGGAGGATAGCTCCTTCCCTACGTGCACGCGCAAGCGTTAGGGTTCTTACTTTATATTTACAGCTTTTATACATATTTACTATATTTCTAAGAAAAGGTTGGGTTATTCTAATAATTTCCAGGAGTTCATTAACATAATTTCCTCCCATAGTCCCACCTCAGTCCGCCCAAGTTACACCTCCGTTGGTGGTCATTGGGGATGAAGATCTGAGTCTTCCTCATGGCTAAACTCTTGAACTTGTCCTGTGGCACATGCCCTGTGGCACATGCCCTGTACCATTCTGGGTCTTTTCCAAGCTGCAGGACCAGCTCTTGCTAGCTTCCCTCCTTATCTTTCCTGCTCAGTCCTGCTCAATCCTTTGGAGGACTCCACCTGGTGTCCTTCCTTGGGCTAACTTGGCTTCCTTCTTATCTCTAAAGACTAGTTAGTCAGCCAGCCATGGATACATACATACACATCCTTCATTACAAACCGGCCTTATTCTTTGTTACACCACCTCCGCTGCATCCATGCACTGAGGTTGGGGTGCAGGCACCAGCCTGGTGTTTCGGAGGAGGTGATGTCAGTTCAGAGTGGAACATCAGGGAGGTCTCCAGCTGTGCACAGGGGCTGCTGCCCGCACCATCTTCCAGTCACTCCCCTGCCTTCAGTCCTAGGGAGGCACCTGTGCACCCCTACAGCTTGGGTTCCCCAAAGGGCCATGACTACAAAGCAAGCCAAGCGTGACCCAGAGTGCTTTGGTGTCTGGAGGAGCTGCTGCTTGGCTCCTCTGAGCTAGCCCTTGGGGAGAGGCAGGGCAGGGCCAGGCCACTGCAAGTCCCAGCAGGGAGTCGGATTTAGGCTTAGTGAGAAAGTACTGAGGGAAAGTCAGTTCCCGTACCCCGAGTGAGCTCCAGCCGGGCTCTCCAAGTAAAACGAGGACTGCTGCTGGAGCGTGGTGAGAAACTGCAGCCTGGAGGCCTGAGGCACTGGGCCTTCATCTCAGCCCAGGGCAGCGCCGAGGCAAGGCTGGAGGTCAGAGAACAAGAACACCATGCAGGAACAGTGCCTAAACCCAAGCCTCCAGCTTAGCCTCAGCTGACTTGTAGGACTAGGGTGAGAGAAACAGAAGGAAAAGACCTTCTCCTCATGCCAGAATTTTGGTTTAATAAGTACTTACTAAGATGGCTTGGAAAAGCCACTCAAAGCACTGAAGGCATTTAATGGATTTAAATTACTTCTTACTGATAGTATTTTTTTAATTTTTGCAAAAAATAGTACCCAGACAGTAAGAAGATATTTTATTTCAAGATGCTCTTAAAAAAAACATTTTATCGTCCACTTCGTGTACAACACCAGTAACCATTGCATATAAAAAAACCATTCAGAATATTAGAACATATATATATGAATAAAATATTCTAGTTGTGACATTCTAAGATTGATGATTCTCTCTCTTATGTTACTGGTAAATAGACCTGCTTTCTGATAATGAGAATGCTATGGTGATTGAGGGATTACTATCTATTCTACTCTGTTATAACAAGTAAAAAGATAAAATATTTTTATGATATTAAGAATCTAAATCATTTACATACATTACACATCCCAGCACATACTATATTCTAATAAGTGAAAGGGATCAGGTTAATACTGAATACACAAGTATCAGTCAATGTTCATGTTCCCACGAAAACAGATCTCTGTAAAAAGCAGACACTAAACAGAATAAACCTATAGGTAGAGGATTTTAATTTCAAGGTTCTGCAAACTGTAAACCTCAAGATAAACAGAGAGCTGAATATCTTAGCTAAGCTCAAATAAACATCTCGAATGCCTTTTCACAACTACAGAGCAAAGGCATTTGAATAACAACATACTGCGTTATCAGTAGCTACAACGAGTAATTCCAATCTGCACTATATATGATCTCATACTTATTGCGAGGGTTTTCCCAGGTCAAAGCTCTTTCTGCTTCTCCACCTCAGCAATTTGATAAAGTTAAGGCTTGCACTGAAGATTTTGTCGTGATGAAAAACCATTTTGTAGAATATATCAATGGGTAGATCTCCATTTGGATCTGCATATTTCAGAGTTGTCATCGGAGTATACAAGGTGTTGGTCTGATGGCGAAAAGGTGGATTTTCTGCAAGAATTATCTTTACTGTATGCTGCCAAGAATGAGACGTAGAATCGTTAAAGAACCTTTAGCAAAATAATAAAGTAAGCCCCCAGTTTTCAGTTAAGCAGAAGAAAAGTGGAAGCATAAAGTGCTAGCATTATGTAAAATCCTATATGTAGTTTTATTATAATTTCATTAGAAAATTTACTTAAAATATTTTTATGGCCATAAGAAGTACTTCTTACGTACTCTTAATTCTATTTCTGTTTATCTATACAACAGTGATAGCACCTTACACGTAAGTATCCTGAACAGTCCTCCAAAGTTATGCCTATAACAGGTAGATCCTTTGTTTTACAGTTCCCTGGGAAAGGATCGGAACAGTGCACTTTGCAGCAAGATCTGGGAACCTTTAGTTGTCACCACAGCTATTCCTTAGCAGCAGGCACCCAAAATCATTGTCCCTTTCCACAGTTTGCCTAAACTTGGCTTCCTGCAGGAAGCCCCAAGCACCAGAAACTACATCTGTGTATCTTCTGTTGTGTCTTGGTGGTCTGGGGTAGCTGAGTGAACGTCACATTAGTGAAATGGAGAGGAGAGCAGCTTTAACCAACGGTGGGAACCCTGTGTGGATGTATGAGAACACTGCAGAATGTCTAGACTTCACCAGATGATGTATAAGGGCATCTAATACCTCAGTGGTATTTAAATTACAACTAAGAGTTGTCTTCAATACTTCAAAATGAACATTTTTTTTTAATATTCTAAAGGGTTTTGTTTCAAAATCTCAAGAGTCTCTTGAGGTTTTTCTAAGTAATTTTGAATTGTGTGAATTACATTTAATTAAATCTAATGCTTCTACCAAAAAAGCCCACCCAGCCACCAGTTGCAAAGAAAAAAAAAAAAATTTGAGAAGAAAGAAGATGGAGAATTGTTGAGGAGTTACCTCTGCAACATCTTCAGCACTTTGTCCCAGGCTCTGGAAAATTTGTTTGTAGTTTTTAAGGTAAATATTAGTAAACATCTCAGCTGTTTCCTCATCTGCAGCTGAAAGATCCATTTTCATTCCATCTTCAAACACTTTTCTTTCAAACTCTGTAACTACTGGGCCCGGTTCAATCAGACTTAACCTGTTCAAAAAGCAAAGATACACTGGTTATGGACTGTCCTCCAGGGGAAGTCCACCTCTGTCCTTCTCAAAGAATAATGAAGAGTTGCCCTGTGAGTACCCGTTAGCAAGCAACATTAAACGGCACACTCTGTAAAGGCAATCCCTACCCCATTACTGCTCTCCTGCTCCCGCCCACCCACATGTAGCAGCCACAATCTGCATAGCTTACGTGTCAGGGAAGTGCTGTGACTTAATTCAAGGCAGAAGTGAGTGCAGTTGTCGCCTGCTGTGTGGAATTTAAGGATGATTTATCCCCCAGAACGTATCAAATATTAAGAAAAATAATTGAAGGATGACAACAAAACTCATTACTTTCTGGGCAAAATCTTACATAGATTTGTCTGTTTTAGCTTTCCCATGATAATGCTAGAGGTAGCTGAAAGAGGGGGAATTGCCCAAACACGGATTTTCTTTGTCAAGCTGTCAGTGTTACGTAATTCAAGATCCCTCCACAATAGTCTAATAAAATACAATACAGAGAATTTTGCTGTGGGTGGACAGATTTTGGCTGCTGCCAAATCCGGAAAAAAAAAAATCTTACTTTGCTCAGTAGCATATTATAGCAAATCACTGAAACACAGTTGTTACTGGTCGGTTCTTTCCCTGTTCTTTTCTCAGGCAGTAATTACTCCCAGCCACAGTGTATATCAAAACACTCTTTGGGAGAAGACCTCTTCCTACACCTAAGTTCTGGTCAGGCTATTCTTTAGAGCTAAGTCAAGCTGTTGACCTTGACAGCAGAATTCCAGCTGCTGCTGGAGTTAAAGCTTTTTCTCTTAGATCACTCTTCACACTGGACCTTGGACTCTTCCCATTCTACTTTCTTTTTTTTAACCTCCTTTTTGCTGTATCTTATACTTTGAAAATGTTATTATGAATTCTGGTGTATCCTATGTATTATTAGAATATATTAATTTTAAATCCCTCCAACTTTTCAGAGCAGTACACAAAGCCACCGTTTGGATGCCGCCTTGTCTCTGAAATCCCATGACAGCAGCTGTCTCTTCTCCCACAGCACAAGGGCTAACTGCTTAGGCACACAGAGGTGCAATGGATATTTAACAACTGTTGAACTTCACACAAAGAATAGCAGCAGAATTACAGAAATGTGAATATACATGTGACAAATCAAATCCCAAAGGCCCCCAGATGATGAACAGGACCATTCTCTTAAATACGGTCTTAAACATTACGAAATCGTACACCACATTCATCTCACTTTCCTCCTGCATCTTGTTGTTATTGCTTAAGAAGTCTGTTATCCTTTCTAAAGGAAAATATTACTGGTCGATATTATAATTTTATTCCTAAGATAATTGTATGCAAGAATCTGTTTTCAGAAGTGTTACATAAATTGTATTTTATCCAAAGGTAAACAGCCTTTAACTGTTCAGGAGAACATGTTTATTTTAGCATCTAGATCTTTTTATTTGCTTATGTGGTGTGAATAATGTGGACATTTCTATGCCTTCTGTGATGGACAATTTCCATGGGTTCCTCAATCTGTTTCTCCTAGATAGCAGCCAGCTTTACAAATTTGTTTCCTAGCTCTGAATATATTTAAAACTATCTAAAATAGAATTTACACCGGTGGATCAGTACTTACTGCAGTTTGAACTTGAGCGCTTGTATAGCTAAACTTTCGCAGAATCCTTCCACAGCAAACTTAGACGCAGCATAAACATCATTAAATAAGATACCTGATGGTACAAACAAAACATCCTGAGAATGTGATTGTATTCAACGTACTAATCCTTTAGTTTTAAAAACTCTTGTGTTTTCCCAAAATTTCTACAGTCTCACTGGGAAAACATCAGAAAAGACCTTGTGTATACTGAATCCAAATACTGGTTTTTTGCCTGTGTTCTCAAAACGGCTTATTCTAGGAAAGGACGCTTGACTAATGCTTTTCCTCCTCCTAGCTGGTGCTGTGATCTCTTTGGATGATACTAAACATTTTGTAGTCTAAGGTCGGAAAGGGTCCATACATGCAATACCATCTGCATTATTTATCAGCAAGACTTTAATAGGCTACAGATGACATGGAAACCGAGTGCAGTGCAGGCGATACGATTATGCAAGAGCTCCAGCTTGCCTCTGAGTGGTGAAGAAACAGCACTACATCCATCCACCTAGGTGGGTGGCAAGCGTTGTGTGAAACAGTAACAACTCCTGCAGTTTGACTTAGGACACTCGCTCACCAGAATAATCCAGGTAAGATCAATGCTGCTGTTGTAATAATTGAAACAAGTAACGCTAGACTGGATGGAACAACAAGAGTAGGATCATCATTATCTGTGGCCAAAATTAGACACTGTGGAGTTTTACGAGAGGAGAAAGTTTACAAGAAGTTTGTCCAGAACAGGATTGGATTTTATTCCATTATTATTGTGCAGAGTGTAGTAAAAAGCATGTTTGCCTGTCCCCATAATCTTTTCTAATAGGAAAAAGAAAAGTAATGCTACTAAGCCCTGTTTTCCAGATAATAAAACTAAATAATAAAATATTTAAAACCAAAAAAATAATTAGAGTTTGAGTTAAAACTCAAAAAGAGAAATTCACTCTGCAGGTTTTGTTAAAATGTCAGAGTAGTTGCATAGTAACACACTACCTAGATGCATAAAACCCAAACGTTAGGTCTCCGTGCTGTGCTTTTTATAATTGGCACTTCAGCATTGCAAAGCACAAGGTAGATATACTAGATCCTACACTTTTTTTTTCCCCAGATAAAATTGGATTTTGAATACTGAACCCTTAGTTCAAACACACAGAAACCAAAAAAACCAACTTTGCCTTGTATTCCCATAACACTGCTTATTATAACTATATGCCCGCTCTTTCTCCTCTTCATGTCGGGCAAAATCTCCTTCAGGAGTCGAACCAGTCCAAAGAAGTTGGTATCCATCACAGTTTTCATTTCATCGATGGTCTGACATTCAATAGGTCCAATGAGCCCCATTCCAGCATTGCTAACTGCACAAAGTGGAAGACAACAGTGAGCAATAACCTCAGTAAACATTAACTTGTAATCTTTATTGGAAAGCTTTTGAAAATAAAATGTGGATTAAGGATTAAGTGATCCTTAAAGAAAAGATTAAAAGATGTTATTCTGTCACTAAAGTTTTGCAAATGCACTTGACATTTCCATATTTTTTAGTTTCTAATTATGCTTTTAATCCAATTTAAATTATCTGACATTTTGAATTTTAACTAATTTATATCTGATTAGTCCTTTTTCTTTAAATTATAAAAAGTTTTCAGGAAAATGAGCCAAGAATTATCTATATTTGTTTACAATTCAGTATTAAGAATTAGAGGCTACAGACAGAACTCTTCAATTTATTCCAAAAGAGGATAGATCAGGCCATATTTTGGTCTGCTTTCTGTTTTGCTTTTTAACATTCACATCTTCAAGGAAAAAAAAAAAAAAGCGCACGCAAAACACACATTTCCATTGATTTATATTTGCCTCCTGGATATTTATAAGTGGGGAACGACTGATAGAACTGGCATTCTGCACTACAACTGCTGTGTCAAATTAGAGCGTGATACAGTTTGCAGGAGAAGCTTGTTAAGCAGTGCTTTAATAATTAATCAAAGCAAAGGCAGGTCCATAATTTTCTATTAGAGAAGATTTAATAGTTGATGGTGTAAGCAATTTCCATCTTAGTAAGACATTAATATTTATGTTTAGCAAACCAGTATGAAAACACTCCTTGTTGAATGATTTGTAAAGTACAGTTACAATTCTCAGTACAACGTGGAAGTACCCTTACTTTCTTTGCATTTGTTCTTTTACTTGCCAATTCCCAAATGCTGTTTCTTTCTTTACAGAGAGCTGTTGCCTTCATTGTAAATAGGGCTATGCTTCATTGATAGAGCAGAAAAACTTGTACATGAAGATGCCAATTTAGGCAAAAGTTCTCTTTTCGCATTTACAAAAAACTGTTATCATCTTATCCAAGACACTTCCCTGTGCTCAAGTTCCTCCTTTGTGAACAGGGAAAACAAACTTCCCTGCTTCATAGAGGCACAGTGAGATTTAATCCACTCATGTCTGCAGGCAGCCTTAACCTTCTCGAACAGAATACACTATATACTTATTATTATTATGACTTTGATCATTTAAAAAATACACCAATAAAACTTCTCCAGGGTATTTGAGAAGATATTAAATAGAAAACCGATATATTTGCTCATAGCATACACATCCCGTACTTGCCTAGGACATCGATCCTTCTGTCAGGGATACTATTCACACAAGTTTTAATAGACTGTTCATCACAGACATCCAGTTGTTTAATTTCGAGGGTTTTGCCCAGCCTGCGACCTGCGGCTTCCTCGAGTGGCTCCTTCTTGGCCAGATTCCGCATTGTGGCATACACTGCAACACACCAGAAGCAAGTAATCAGAAATAAAACTTCTTCGGGAGCAGTCTTACTGACAAGTGTTAAAGAATATTGCTTTTACATCCATGTCTTAAATATAATAATAGAGCCCAGATAAGAACTTAAAGTAGAAAAATTTATATTCAACAAATATAGCCATTGATTTTCTGGAGTTTGGTTCTGAAATCTAGAAATTTGAAAGAAGAATTAAACCGCTATGCACATGAAGAACATGCAGCGTATAAAGATAATACTATCAACAAAACTTTAAATGGGTATCAAGTTATGCCGCTGAACCATTTTTAGGTACCTAAAACTTACTTTTGGATTCCGGGTATCCTTTTTTTTTTTTTCCCTTTTTTTTTTTTTAATCACTGTCAACATGTGTAGCGGAACAACCATGATTTTATTAAGAAGAAGGTTTCAAAAAAATGTCTGTTTTTGCAAGTTACTTCTCAAAATAGAAATTAGTTTTATCATCATTGTGGCCTAATTACCCAGAAGACTATGAATCTGCATCCAGTCATTTAGCAGTAAAATACTGCGAGAGTGTGAGAAACTGAATTACCACAGATTGCTGTATTTGCCTTGCCATCCATTTTCAATCACAGCAAACATCCCATTTTGCAGCTGAAAGACAAATCCAGCTCCTTTGTTCACCCTCTTACACCTAAACAGAGTTGGAATACTGAAACGTGCTTTAAGGAAAAAAAATGCAGATTTAAGAACTGTTTTCCTAAATTTAGTTCTTTGGTCCTCAAACAGACATGTACATCTCATTCAACAAAGATTTTAGTAGCCAAAAGCAAAGCTATCTACAACCATGAATGTATATCCAAGGTAGCATACTGCAGACATTTTCAGCTATTTGTTTTTATACTACTGTTTTTTTTTAATTTTTTCTTTATATCTATTCTGTTCAAGTAGCTGTTCAGCTTCAATACAGGTACAGAAATACTATCTGCTTACAGAAAGCAGCGTATTTTCACTGTATGGCATTTTCTTGGCAGTAGAAGGAGGGAAACTAAGAAGAAACAAGTCACCAAACTGAACACAATCACCTGTTAAATCACAGAGGAAAAACCAAACAGTACTGCCTTGAAGAGTACCTTTTTCTAAAGGGAAATAACAGATGCCTTGTTACCTTTAAATCTTTTCTGTTCATCTTTTGCCATTTTTACAGCTAGGGCCAATCCAATTCCTGAGGAGCAACCTGTAATGAGGACATTTCTTCTTGCCATTCTTTTCACTGGGTGGTTCAAGCAAGAGTTCTTGTTCAGAGGAGCAACAACCTAAATGTAGCTGCAGTAGAATGTCATTGCCCTTTAATGCTATCTCCAGCTTTCCTGAGTCAACAAATCTGAAAGTGCACACCTGGACCCTGCACGATTAAGGGATAATCTCCAACTACGCAAACCCAGAAGCAGATGCTGCTGCAGGAGCTTATAATCTGCATTATCCACATGGACTATTATTTAATACAAAATTTGATTAATCTTTAAAATGAGACATTTGTAAGCAACATGGGAATTTTTTTGTTTTAATAGTGGAATAACCAGTTTGCATACTACTGGCAGGAAAATCCTTGCCACAATTACCACCTGTAGTGTCAAGACCTCCACTCACATCTATGGAAAGTAAACTGCACCCAAAATGGGATCCCTCTGCTAAAGGTGTTCAGACGTCCTAGACTTACAGCACCCTCGTTCTTTTGCAACAGAATGACAAATGGATTTCTTCCCTCATGCCTTAAGAGTCCTAATAGGCTTTACGGAAAAAGTAAATTGAATAATGGGATGTGGATTTGGAGAGACACAAGTTGTTCAGACAGATTCCCCACATTTCTTTTTAGCACCCTTCCCAACCAAGAACCCAGAAAGTAAGCAAGTACGCCAGCAGTAGAGAACGGCCAGGAAGATGTTGGACAGACCAGCCTCACTACATCCTTGCGCTCACACTGAAATCTCTTTGAACACCTTCTATTCTCCAATTGACAAGTCAAAAAAAAAAAAATTAGAAAAAAATCAGAACTAGCAAGGTATCTGAATCTGTTTTAGTTTTGGAGAAAATATTCCACCAACTTTGCACATAAACTGAATTAAAAAACAGAGGCACATTTAGATTGGCAGTTTGTGTTTAACATACGGTAACTGCAGGCATACTACATTCAGATAGAAAATTAGTCTCTTGTGAAATTTATAACCCATCCTGAGTGACAGAAAAAGAATCACCTTAATAAGCAATCAGCCTTCTGAACAGCGCTCAGCTGATTGCAATGCCCTTATACACAGAAAAATGTTTTCCAAGATTCAATAACCCCATGTAACGCAACGCAGTTCAGAAGAATGAACTTAGTGTTCCAGGATTTGCATTAGTGTTCCAGGATTTGCATAGATGTAAATTGGTTAGTAACTCAGGAAAAGTAGGACTCTACAGAAACATTTAACTGAAATTATGACCTTAGGAGAAAAAAAAAAAAAGCCCCTCCTTTCCAAAACAAATTCACTTGAACCGTATAACAAGTGGAATCATTCACTTCTCAGGCAAGCAGCAAAACAGCAAGAGAGCTTCTAAAGTTAATGAGGAAATGTAATTATGATTCTACTTATTTGTCAGGTTTGACCCACAGTTTTACCAGAGAAGTTCATATCCAGATGCACAATTTTACTGCAACTGCTATTTAGCTGATTCAGGTATTAGGCAAATTGCTTTTGCTGCTCATGCACATTTATATTTAGTGCACGTAGGAGGAGCAAGCAAGGCTTTATGCAACACTATGTTCGTGGAATTCCACTAGTGTTGTGATGCAACTGTAATTACAGACTGGTTATATTTTCCACTTGAAATCCTGGTTTGAAGGGCTTACATGTTCCTTTGCTCTAAAATAAATGAATAAATAAATAGGCCTGAAATTTAGTGCATAGATCTCCAGCCTGAAGACAAATTGATCTGCCTCAATAGAGGAGAAAAAAAAAATCCAAGTAGTTCAATATTTTTCAATTATTACACTGGTCAGCCTAATTCTAATGTTTTTCATTTACTATTATGTAGAGAAACTAATAGTTTGATTTAAGCTACACAATATATTTATTTCTGTAAGTTAACAGTATTTTTTTGCTACATCTTAATTTTCATAATAGCAAAATAAATAATCTGAAACTGCAGGAATACTTTAGATGAGTGTATCTTGACCAATGGCAGCAAAATGTGTGCCTGGTTTTGTAAAACCACTTAAAGTTGAACAGTTGCATCTGCAGAACTTATTTACGTAACAGTGAAAGGCCACCCCACCACCCAAGGAGTTCAGCCCCTTCCACCTGCAGAGCTGCTGAAATACAACAGGTACGTTTGTTGGCCAAGATACACTTTTAACATATAAAACATACTTGGGCCTAATCTTTAAATTGCAATACATTCAATTCTGTTCCTCTGCTTTATATCAAATAACTTCACTAAGTTGACTTCCTGAAGTATAAATCACATGTCTTAATGCACATAAATCATGTCTGCATTAATCACTCAGATTTAGACCTCGTAACCATATCTGCAGTTTCTGATGCTTATGTATATATAGAAGTGTTAGAAAATGGGGCCACTAGTCATTTGTACTCGCTAAATGGTGTAGTTCTTTTGGAAAACTAGAAATAAATATGTTTTAGAACACATAGTTATGATGCCATTTTAATCAACAGTAATTTTTTTATGGATTTTGGTTTGGAGATGTGGGGGGGAGAAGTTCAAGCTTTATGGCCCTATCCCACACCCCTCTGCATCTGAAAGATACTGCTTGGAGTAAAGCGAGTGGGTTTTGCCAGTGTTTATGATCAAATCAGTGTCCTAAAGCATCTTACAGACAGGTCACTTTTAATAAGATTGTGTATGCAACATTGGATGCGTACAAAAAAAAGAGAACACACTCCCTAACACAAGGACACAGTTTAAAATCCTTGGAAAAAATGACAGCTGAAATTAATTCCTGCAACTCAAGATAATTAAAAAATAAAATTTATTTCTCAACAATAAATTAAGACAATATTATATCAAGGTAATAATCTCAAAACCAGTTGGAAAAATAAAAAGGTTGTCCTTTGCATCAGTACAAATAACCACATTCATTATTTACAAATACAATGTTAAAATTTCCTCTTTGAATGCACAATTACGTTGCCGGCAACAGCATTCCTGGGTTGCTGCTTGTCCATTCCTTCCTTCACAATTCTTGCCCCTGAAAGAAAATATCTGTGATCAAAACCTTCCTTTAAACTTCTACACTTAATTTACCGTATGTAAATCCATTTGTACCAAGATGATACTTTTCATTATTATGACTTATCTTACAAATCCATCAAAACTAGCTGGAGGTGTCAAGTCCACAGCTTCTTTGTCAAATTCTGTCCCCCAGACTGAAGTTATTAATGCATTTTTGTTCACTGTTCTAGTAGTTGAAGTGCATTTGCTTTTAAAATGAGCATAATTTACAAGTTTCTCAACATACATTAAGTTCTAGCAGATACATAGGAAAATATTATGCAGAGTCTTTTGAGATAAAATCTTCATATACAAATCCCTTTAAAAATTTTGTACAGTTTAAAGGAACACTATCTTTTGAAATAACTCCTCTGTGTAAGGCTTAAGGTTTCGTGTTGAACTGCATTATTGTGTTTAAGTCCCTAACAACTTAAGTTTCTAACAATTCAGGAAATGTTTGTAAAAACCCTATCAGGAGTATCAAGGAATCAAGTACCAAGAGGAAAGCCAGCTATGATTCCCACCAATACAAAGTGACAGAAAATCTTCCAACATTAATGTGAGTATTCTGGATTTTCTACAGTACACAGAAATAAACACAGCCAAACACACTATGTCTGGGGTTGGGGTTTTTTTTGTTAATTTCTAGAGGTTTAGCTCCCCCACCCCCCTTTAAAAAACAGGCTTACATGCTGGACCTAATTATTTGACAGTTCATTTACAGAAAAAACTGAACAGGACTATTAGGTGATCAACAAAAAGGTGTCTCCAGTACATGACCCACAGCAGCTATGTTTACATTAGCCAGCACTGTGGCACAACAGGGGCCATACCAGCCACTAATATTTCATAACATCACATTCTACTAGGGCTCCTGTCACTGACACATATAGAAGTGATTATGTTCTATCTATTCATGTTTAGCTAGATGCTTAATTCTTTGAGGAATGCTATAGAGTACACAGACATCTATAAGTAGCATATAATCAGCTTACAGCTAATGAATGAAAGATTATTACAATAACTTCCAAATATTTTTACCCTATGCATATTTTCACAAAAATGTTGTAAAAATTACTCATTTTTTTCTTAATCAATCTTTGTAAGCACTAATGTTTTTCTTACTTCACTTACCATTTTTAACACATCTTTATTTAATGTTTCAGTAAAGAACTGTGGCCACAAAAGATTAATTTGCTGTAAGTCAAATCTGCCTTTTTTTTTTTAAATAAAAATTACTTCAGTTTCCTAGAAAAATTAAAAAGCCATCCTGAACATTCAGTAAGATGTTTCCAGATTCTTTATTTGTTATACTTACAACTCCTAAGGGTAGCAGAGTGCTGTATTGTTACAAGACCTTCACTGCAGATTGATGCCCCAAACCAAAGATGTGTATCATTCATAAAGTATAACGAGCTGTCTTCTCTACTTTAGCTGTACACTCCCAGTCACTATGCCAAACCAGTCTCTCTCCTCGTTCCCAGAAGCGTGCTAGATCTCAGCGCTCTTTTGATGCGACTATTTTCACCAGATGGATACCCAAGTCATAACAAGCTCTCATCATACAGCATACTGTTTCGTTTCATTTCACAGAAGACCATGTCCATAGCCAGAACATCAGGTTACTAAAGACAGTCAATATCCAAATTTCTCCACAAAGCAGACAATTAAGAGAGTGCCATTAAATTTGTAATTTTAAATCATTAAACTGGTTTAACTTCAGGACATTAAGATTAAGCAAACACCAGGATATACAATACAATTACTTGGGGAGAAGTAATTCTAAAGAGACACTGTATCATTCCTTCTAGGCAGTTACGGTAATGGCATTAAAAACTGGTAATTTCTTGTGTATCGAAGGAACATTTTACCTTTTCAAGAGCTTCTAGTCCCTGTTGTTTTCTTTCAATTTTTTTCTTCAGCTGATTTGTTTCTTGATCTCTCTGGAGCAATTCAAACTCTTTTTCACGAAGCTTATCTTTAGAATGTTGGAGTTTCTTCTCTAAGCTCTCAATCTGAACAGAAAATGCCATTAAGTCAGAACAGATATTTTAGACAGTTAAAAAAACCAAAACACCCTAAACAAAACTCACAAATACCATCGGTATTACCTCTGACTTTGGATTCTCTTGTCAATTTTTTATTTTATTTTTATTTTGTCAACATTTTCCTCTATTAAAAGAGCAGTTTGGAAGTGTATCAAATCAAGTAAAAAAAAAAACCAATTTTCATTTTTATACTGGTATTTCCCTGCAAAATTTTTAGTTTTAATTGACAAACATGAAATATTTTTTCCAGTACATTATTAAGATATTCCCTTCTCTCTCCCTACAATAACGAACCAGTTTTACTCTTCTAGATTAAACCTGGCCAGCTGTTGTGTGCTAGACCCAGAGTTTCTCATAGACTTAGCTGCCCTTTCTTAGGGAAACTTAACACTAATTACCTGTTTATTGCATTCCTTAATTTCTAACTCAGACTTCTCTAAATTGCACTGTAACCGGATTATTTGTTGTTCCATTTCTGCCCTATGTTCACGAACAGTCATATCCAACTGTGCAATCTAGAGGTAAAAAGGGAAGAAAAGGAAATATTTTATTTTGAACTAGTAGGCAGAATTTAAGAAGTAATGTTACAAAATACGACAGCAAAAGGTATGAAACTATTCCTTTGTAGTCTCAAGAATAATCTCTCAAGCAGTCAATATAAAAATGCACTTTAGGTATCTCGTTTAAAAAATAGGGGCCAAACACAAAGACAAAGGGGGAAAATTGGGAAAAAGTCCATAACTGAATATTTGGTCCTTGGGTACACAGAATACAAACCTAGTTCTCATTTTAAATGGAATGTAACGAGTAGCTTAGAACACTGATACATCTTGCTAGTAAGTGCCAAATTTTGCCAAAGCAAAAAAAATTCTATTGCTTCGATGTATTTGCACTGCGTTGTTGTCCTCAACTCAACTTCGGAAGGTCTGGCCTCCTTACAGTGTCAGTTCCTTGAAACGATTTTTTGTTTGTTTGTTTTAAATCCCCACCCCACATTCTCTGCACCTCAAATATTCTTGGATACAAAGGCTGGTAACTCCTGCAGGAAGTAGCTATTAGAAGGCTGTGACAGAAGAATAGTTTTTCCATGATGGGTATCAAATCCTAAAGGCAGACCAAAAGACTGAAAATATTTCAAGTGAGCTACAGAAACTTATTCTCAACAAAGATACTGTTTCATATTTAGAGGCTGCTTTAGAGCTACGCAAATACGCTCAAGTGCAAGCAAGGAAAGGAATCTATCCCTTCCAAGCAAACTTCAGGGCAGATCTTTCCTTCGTTTTATCAAATACTAAGACGACAACAGTTGTCCTGTAACTTTATCACTAAGGAAGAATTATGGGACAGGTTTGCACAAAGCTTCTGTTCTAGCCAAACAGTAGCCTGTGGTCCCTTACGGGAGCACAACCTGATGTTCCTGGTACCGTAAGACTTCAGTAACATCAGCTGGTTGTGAGGAGGCTATATTGACAGTACAGTTTGGAATGATTTGTGAAGGCAATTAAACCTAGCAGACTTTCTAGAAGTTATCTACTACATAACAAGAATAATTGCCAGTAACATACTTAAAGTGACCTGACCTGAGCTGCTCTTTGTTTCAGCTCCCAATTCCTTTCTTTCAGTGCTTGGTCCATGTCAAGGAGTTCTTGGTTTTTGTCTTCAATTTCTCCCTTGCAATACCTGAAATTTGCATATGTTTAATTGCTTAACGCACATTCGGTTGCTTAGTTTCAAGTATACAGCTTGAAAATCATGAGATCTATTACTTAAAGCCAAATTACTCTAAAATGTGAAAAAACTAATTGATTGCAAGGAAACAAACCCAAATGGAACAATTCTGATAACTATATTCCAGGAGGCAATTTCCCAATAAATTAATTATTCACAGAATCACAGAACGGTCGCAGTCGGAAGGGACCTCTGGAGATCACCTAGTCCAACCCCCTGCTAAAGCAGGTTCACCCAGAGCAGGTCACACAGGACCGTGTCCAGGCGGGTTTTGAATATCTCCAGGGAAGGAGACTCCACAGCCTCCCTGTTCCAGTGCTCTGTCACCCTCAGGGTAAAGAAGTTTTTCCTCATGTTGAGGCAGAACTTCCCGTGCTCCAGTTTGTGCCCGTTGTCCTGTCACTGGCACCACTGGACAAAAATTCAAGTTATTTAATTGGTTATCATGACAACATGTTCTTAAAAAAAGAATAGTACAGAAGAAAGTAATGTTAATTCATGGGCAGAAAGGAAACAGGACAATTTAACTATAAAAGGAAGTAATTGCTCTTACAATTATTTCATAACCTTGGGATTCAGAAAATAATTTCAGCAGTTTTAAAACAGAATTCCCAAAAAAGAATTCAGCACCAACTCTAGAAATTAAAAGTGAACTGGGGAGCTACTGCATCAAGTTATTTTACAGCCACAAGCTACCTAAAAATTACAGAGAGCTGGTAAGACAACCAAAAGACCATCCAAACTACTTGCTATTGCTAAGGAAAAACGGACACAACTAAGTTTTCATGATGGAAAAGATACCAGCTTACCTGAGCTCAGTTGTTAGATCCATGATAGCAGCATGCTTCTCCTCCAGAGAGGACTGTGCGTTCTGTAAGGCATCTTGCAATTCCCGAAGCTGCGCTGAAGTGATTTTTAATTCTCCATGGGTGTCCTGTAATGCAGATTCTAGTTCTGCTATTTTCTGCAAGGCTTCCCTGTGGCAAGTCTCACTTTGAAGCAGCTTATCTTCTAAATCATTCACTGTTTTGCACAGAACACAAAACGTTTAATCATTAGTGAGTCAGGGTCTTCATGCAACACCTAGCACTTGTGGTCATAATCAATTCTCAGTATTTTTAGGAAAACCTAGAAAAACAGTCACTTCTGAGGTTATATAACCCCCTTTTCATAGAACCTAAGTCTTTGCTGGTTTTATTCAGCTCATAATCTAAAATTGACTTGAAATATGAGGATGTATCCAAAAACATTTCGCCAAAGAGAAAGTACAGAGACAACGACAACATACTAACTGAACATGTACTGCTATGGAAAAGCAAACAGAATTGCTAGTAAGTCCCTGGTTTAAAAGAATGGTAAAATTAAATGGAGGAGGGGTTGGAAAGTTTGTTATTTGTGTAGACTCTTGTGGTTTTTTCTTTGTTTTAAAGAGCTGAATCATTTTTAATAGCATATGCCTTTATTAAATCTGTGTGTCCCGTTTGCCTACCACATTAAGAACCTGCATTACCAATTTACAGGGAGAACTACGTATTCATTTCACCTGGGTGAAGGTACATCCCACCGAAGTGAGGATTTCTAAAGGTACATTAAAAAACACAAACATTTTTTGGGGGATGGGGAGGTTGTTTATTTGGAGGGAAGGGTGTTTTCTAGGGGTTGGTTTGGTTTTTTTCTTCTTTCTTTTAAACACTATGGAATTACCAACACATGTAAAAAAAATAGTAACCCCTCCATTAAAATAATCATATTTTCAATCTCATGGACTTGATTATAAAACAAGGGGAAAATGTCTAATCTAGTACATACAGAGAAACAGCATGATGAAAGGAAGCCTGAGAAACACAACAGCAAAATTACCCTCATTTGCCTTTGCATGGAGCTCTGATCGTGCTTCTTCCAAAGTCATATCCAACTGATTGATCTGCATTGCTTTGTCTTTGCCATCTCGTTTCAATTGCACTACTTCTTTTTCCATAGCAGTAAGTTCATTCTTGCACCGATCCATCTCTGACTTCATTTGTCTAAAGAGAAGCATGTAGAAGAATTCTGTTAACTTTGTAATAACAAAAGCAACATATATGTCCTTACATGCTTTAAGATGACACGCATTTGCCAATAAGATAGCAATAAAAAAGTCACATTAAGTAGGCTTTTCTTGCAATCAAAACCACATTCTTTAAGACTACCAAGCCCTCCTAGAATGCAGCACCTAGGATTACAAGCCACTTGATGTATTTATGAATTGAATTGCATTATAAAGGGCCATCTTAAGGCTAAATAGGTCGCTGGGACACCCATTAATTCCATGGGAAGACTGTTCCAGAAACTCGAGTCTCTGCTAGTTAGAAACTTCCCTGCTGATTGCCAGTCTATGCTCACACTGAGACTGAATTGTATGACTACATAGCTGAATAGCATTTCAGACAGCAAGCCTTATTGATATGGATATCTGCAGAATATACCTCTCCGTTATTCTAAACCTACCTGATTGTACCATTAAGATCATCCACCTTCCGGCTGTTTAAATCTGCTTCCTGAGCAGCTAGGTGAAGTTTCTCCTCTACCCTTCTCAACTCGTCTTCTGCATATGCTTTCTGCTTCTGAAGCTCTTGTTCCAAATTTGATACCTATTTAAAATGGTATTCAAAAAGTGTTGGTACTTTTCAACTACATACCGAAGAAATACACATCCTTGTCTTGCAACTCACATAGTGAGTTTTAACACAACAGATTTCTTTATAGTCTAAAATTGCATATAATTTAAGACTAGAACTTTGCAGTCACATTTGAAAGACAAATAGTTTCCAGTAAATATAACAAGATTTGACTGTCTGAATTTCAATACACCTCTCCTTAATTGCAGTCTAAAGTTTGATTTTCCAAGTACGTAGCCACCCTGATGCTAGCTAGAGTTTGACAGCACAGAACAAACCACTAAAGTCTTTATTTTAGATATATCAACTCAGATAGCAAAGAAACATTCAGATTCTAAAGGTATTACAAAGACATACATGAAAGCATTTAATTATCTGTCTTTATGTAGTCACTTCTTACCATACTGTACCTGTTTTTCAAGTTTTATTTGATTATCTTCCAGCTCCCCATTTCTAATAGTTTCTTGCTGTAACATCTGCTGCTGATGATGCAAAGTTTGTTGCAGGAGAACATTTTGTTCGCTTGTGTCCTGAATATTCTGATCTTTTAGTTTTATTTCTTTCTGTAAATAATGAACCTGAAAAAACATTTATTTTCCATTACAACAAAACATTTTTATTTGCACTGGCATCAGCTATTCTCTTCATTCTTAACGAGCACAGAATCACACCTACGATTCACTACATCTTCTGGCTCTGAATTTAGTTGCATTACCGTTTCAACAGTGCATAACACATCCCATAATTCATGACTGAGTTGTGCTTTATAAAGTGAGGAAAGAAGTAACTTTTAACAGTTCTTGATTTCTTGCTTTCTAAATATATCCAAATTGGTCAGTATTTTAAAAAGACAGGTTACAGAGTTTTCATTTCTGAATTACTGAAGTACTTCTTTTCCTGTCACTCTTCTTACTTTATTTCTCAGAAAGTCCTTGTTTTCCCCTTGAGATTTTGTTCTCAGTCCTCCTCTCTATTTATTCCTGCCTCTGTGACAACAGCCATTCTAATAAAAGACAAGAATTCCGAGTGCCTAACTTGTCACGTGTTGAATGGCCTGATTTCTCAGTGATGAGTGACAAGAATTTTCTGAATAAAAGAAATGTTCTTTGGGGGGCGGCGGGGGGAAAATCACTAACTGCTCACCCCAAAGTGGAAGCAGTGACTCTGTCACCTACTTACGAAAACATTGGTCACAATTACAAAGCCTCACTTGCTACCCTTGAGTTTCACACAGCATCCAGTCCCTTCATACACAGTATAAGAACAACAGATCCTAAGGCTTAGAAAGCCACAGTAAACATCACAGGCTCATGTGTAAACACCACAGATTTCCATCCAGTTACTCCTGTACAGGGTCTAGTAATCTCTGCCTGACTAAAGCCTATCCCTCAGCAGGTGGGGCAGCACTGACATGAACAGCTCACTATGATAAGTAGTTCATGTGGTTAGCCATCTCCATAAATAAAAATTCATACTAATAATATTTAAACTTAATTCTTTCTTGCTTTCATGTAGTAGTGGAAAGTGTGATAAAATTCACGGGCTTGAACTACAAATTTGCTTATGCCCAGGACTTCTTCCTCATTAAGATCCTTGACACACAAATCAACTGCATGCACCTAAGTTTATAGCGCAATAGCGCGCTCTCAATTTTTTCCCAAGATAATGCTTTCTCTCACTTAGTTCTGATTTTATTACTTCTTTCAACAATTCATTTATCTTGGTACTTTTCCTCAAGCTTATCCAGTGTTTCTTAGTTATGCTTTTCCCCTTGACGCTCACAAAATGTATAGCCTTTTCCCAGCTTACTTCCTATTCACAGTTCCTGCTGCAAATGCTTTGTCCCTTACTTCACAGGCAAACTGTTAGCTTAAATCACTCATAACAAGTGTTCTCTGCAATACAGAAGAGTTGTCAAAACAAGCTGTTACCTCTTCAGATTTTTTTTTGAGCTGATTTTCAAATATCTCCTTATTTTCTTGTGACTGACTCAAATACAATGCAATTTCTTCCTTACATGCATCTAGCGCCGACTCAAGTTGTCTCACCTAGTTGAATGTAAAATAAGATAGCAATTGGCATGGCATGGTTTTGGCATGGCATGGTTTTTATTAACTAGTCTAAAAAAAAGTGTTAAAAACCATCTTTGTGTAAAACGTCTGAAAAGCTAGATTTTTACCTGAAGAGTATTAAAATAGGCATAGGAGATTATGATAAACTTTAAAACTTAAATAGTATTCAGAAATTAAAGTTATTTGTGAAATTAAATTACAATATTTTAGACTGTGTTTAAACAGATGAGACTATCAGTTATGTGAAGATATTCATTATTTGTCAGTAGCTAGAATTTAAAAGTAAACATATGCCCAATACCAAATCATTAATCCACCACATTTTATTACATATAGAATTGTATAAATAAATTTGGAATGATCATCATATGTGAGTTGTGACAAGTCTTTTTCAAAAATAACATTCAGGTTTTAACACAATTCCTCTCAGAAAGCTACTAAATAGCCTTTTTTTTCCTTTCTGCACTGAGAGACAGTGCCTGAGTTCTACCAAAACGGAAAGAAAAAGCTTTTAGCAACGTCAACACTGTTAATCTATTTTACCCTTTTGCTACTAATTTAGATTTGAGTCATCTCTAACAAATACATTATAACCTTGAACAGATAAAAATTATAATGAACAAACCCCCAGGTCTTAAGGCATAGTAATTAAACTTTTCTTAACTGTTTGGTTTCAATGCTAAGATGACTCTTCCCATCAATGAGAGAACTGTGCTGAACGTAGCTGCTGAATGTAGCTGCAAGCTGGCTAATGCCTTCAGTGCTGCCAGTTTTCTAAACTGTACTGGATTGTATAACCTCTTCCCCCACCCGAATCAAGAGCTTTTTGAAGAGAACCGATAACGGGTGTTAATTTTAAGTCTCTGGAAAATATCCCAAATACTACAAAGCCACTTGGATAGAAAACTGGTCCAACAAGTTCAGACAGAGCATGCTACCAGCTAAGTCCCCAGTATCTTCTCCTAGTTATATCCTGAAGATTTAATACGGTTTGAAACCCAACTGTGGTAAATCACCACTTGGCAACGGTTTATTAAAATACTGTTGCAAGCATGGAAAATATTTATCAGGCAAACACTAGGAAGAGGTATAAGTGGCTAAAAATGTGACCAATATTGTAATATCACATGTGTCTAAACTATATGTCATACCTAGAGCAAAAACCTACACAACATTATCTTTGTTAGACGTTTTACTTTAAGAGTACAAGTCCAAATCTGCCCTATTTGTAACTACAGTAATTTTATAAAGCAATTACGCATTGCATAATCTCTTACAGCAGGTTTCATCATATTTCTTTTAATTAAAAAAAACGGAAAGACTGCAGGTTAACAAATTCTGCAATACTTACATGAGACAAATTTCTATAAAGCAGCCTTGATATAGTTGTTCTATAGAGGATGAAAGGAAATACGCCATTACTGTAAACTTTAAAACTACTAATTGAAAACTGAAAATTACAGAGAGCTTACTTTGATTCTTTCTTCTGTTAACTGACTTTTCAGCACTTTCAATCCTTGATCTTTCTGGACATTTTGATTTTCCATTTCCTATTTGTACACATATTTTTATTCGAGAGAACAAAATATAAATATAGTAACAGTAATTTAACTAACAAAAACCTCATATTAAGAATCAGGAAAAAAAAACAGATCAGTGTATTTACATCACAATTGCTTGTATACTGTACTTGTATACATCATCCTCTGAAGCGAATCTGGTTCCTGATAGGTGTCCCTTCATATTCTGCAGTTTTTTAGGAATTATGAAAAGGAATAAAACATTGCCACAATAGAACAGTCTTGGTTTTCCACCTAGTGCAGAATAGATGCAATTGTTCTTTATCCAGATCTCTTTCCTTTGATTAGAGCGAGAGGCCCAAGGGGCAAACCACA